CATTATGTATAATTATACATATATGTTATGCTTTATTTGTGACAAATTGCCAAGGCTAGCGTATGTAGTAACATCGATGCGATACACATTTTGAAACATTTCTTAGTCTCTGGATTAGAAACACCGAAATACATTGATATCGCGAGATTGAGATGTTGTGTCCAAAGTGCCATGCCTACTATTTCTCCCTGGATCCAAACATTGGCAATGTATATGCAATGAAGACCAATGATTCACTTCCACATAGAGTACATGATTACGTTTGGGGAGGGCGTCACAAGATCTGACAGAATATAAAAACTCCACAACGCGGCGCTTGCAGATTGCTCTATTCTCCAATCTTCAGCCTCGGAATTCAATTCAACAGGAATACTATCATGTGGAGACCTGTTGCTGGAAAACCATTTGTTGCCTTCTCTGTCTGACAATTCAATAAAGTTTGACATGTTTCTGTTGTAGTAAATCTATTAAAAAAAATCTTAAAAAATTCGTCGAAGAAATACCCGGAAGGAGTTTTGTAATCATCACAGATTATGAAAACTGCATTATTTTCAGAGAAATTTAATTATAATTGTAGGTAAAATTAGGCAAAAAGCCCGTAAATTCCCCGTCGTTCCCTCTTACAAAGTAAGTGCAATCTACTTCGGATCGACCAGTTGAATCATGAATTCCTAACCAATTCAATAAAAAATAGAGAACTTAACTAAGCCAACTTCCTCAGCTCACTTCCTCGATCATTTGATTTAACCTACACAGAATCAAATAATCAATAGCGCCTTAGAAAACGACCACGATAAGTTCCGCTTGACTCAAAGGAAGTCGCGCCTCCTGTATGTGTGCGTCATCATCGATTCGAAACAGTATTGTTTACCTTTTATTCATCTTATTTTCATATTTAGTTATATTGCATATTTGTCTACCGAGTTTCACAGTTTGCCTATTCTAGGAATTTATATCGGTTTCCGGGTAATATCAATTTATGAATCTCACGGCGTGAAATATAATCTAAAAACACGATAGAATGATAATATAACTAAGTACATTAGTAAAAGCTCAAACTAACACGGGGCCTATGCCTATCTAACAACGAATTTCACACATGCAGGAACAAGGTCCTTTCTCCATCATTCATCGAGCACAGCCATTTTTCGGTTTCGTGTTCGTTGAAAATATTCGTATAATTCGACTACAAAATCTATTTGCCTGCCACTAATTACGGCGCATGTTAATTATCATTGAATGGCAATTAAAAATCAACTTGTTTAACATTTAAATCCAAGTAATAGTTCCACATTTAATGCATTTGATCGGCGCTACATGCGAGCGTGTTTTTGTACTTATAAACGATTTTGACGCTACTGACATCCGCGACTTATACTTCTCTCCAAAATTAATTTTCACAATTTCTAATGTTCTATTTTCAAATGCGGGTACTACTGACTACGGAATAATGGTCGATATTTGAAAGAGGACTTGCAAAATATTCACCATAAACCGTCAGGCAAAGAGAGGCGGGCTACATGAAACCGTTGCGTCGTGATTAGTGGTGGGCAAATAGTTTTTTTAGTCGAATTATTCGACTATTTGCAACGAACACAACACCGAATAATGAGTATTGTCATTTCAAACAACCGTATTTGGGATGTCGGCCGCCGAAAAGATCGCCGTGACAATTTTATTTTTCGGAATTTACTTGAAGACTGAAAACTTCGCAACAATTCAGCGATTTTTATTTCCTAATTTGTCATAATCCCAGGCCGCAGTAAGTACTTTTGTCACCGCGATCCTTTCGGCGGCTTGACATCCCAATTGATGATGATAAACTATATTAAAGCACTTTTTATTCACTAGTAAATATTATTTCTCATGCAACGGCGGATATCGCAGTTTGGTTTTCATTTTTTGGACAGAAATTTGATTTCACATCGGCGACGATGTCAAAGACAACTATTAAGATGTGCATTCACAACACAAATTAATTTTATGCTGCTTTTTATCTTTTTTGAAGTATTGTATCACAGTTTGTGCATTAAGGTCCCAATTTTAAGCGAACAGTATTACTGACCCCGGAATGCGATATTTGTGAATGTGATAGTTGACTTTTTTATGCTTTTAATTTTATATCGTGTCCGTGTTACTTTCGTATTAATAATAATTAAAAACTCCGCAAATTGGTAATCTCTCTAATACTCGGTGTTGAGAATTAACGTAACTCAGCTTTGGAATAAAACACTGATACTAAATACTTGAATAAATCGGCAATAATGGCATTTCTACGTGGTCAAAATAATATTTCTCCCCGTCCCCAATATCTCGGAAAATTTCCATAGAATACAAAATTTGTCAGTCGTACTTATCTGGTTCGACAATTCTAAATTATTCAAAATTAGAAATTGGAAAATATGATAATCCTTACCCGTAAGTGGGACACGTGGTACACGTGGGACAAGTGGTACACGTGGGACAAGTGGTACACGTGGTACAATTGGGAAAAGGTGAGACAGATGGTACAAGTAGTACACGTGGGACAAGAGGTACACGTGGGACACGACATTTTTGAGACACCGGTATAAAAGCTACAACTAGTTATGTTGGATCGACGTGATTTTGTATTCTCTATTACAATTTTTTACGTTGTTTACTAAGCTAATATAATACTAACAAACTTCTATAAAAGCAGTAAGATATAACTTAAATTTTGTTAATACATTCAACGAATTTTTGTTTTCTTGTGCTTTTCTAGTATATATATAGTATGGATTGGCAAAGTTCTGTTCTACCTAGGTCGTGTTCCTATTTTTATCTAGTCTAACGATTCGCTCAAAAATGAAGTTTATTGTGTTTGCCATTGTATTTGTCTTACATGTCATTTTCTAAAGGTAACACCTAGCATCAGCATGCAAGAAAAAGGTGTTTTGGAGAAGCCTAATAATAAGTAACAATGGGAAAAGATATATGAAAACTAGTACGAAACTCTGACTGCCATCCAAATTTTGGACGCGTCCTTGGTTGCATCATAGCACACGAATTTGAAATAAACTGACACGGGAGGAGTTTTAATGTGACCGATTATAATATAAGCAAGAGAACAGTATGAAACTATTATTTCTTACTTAGATGTACACCGGACACCGAAACGTATTAAGTGTACCAGGTTAGGGTTAGACCATAATTTTATTCCAATTTTCCCTATTTTAGTTCCATTACGAGTGCGGGGACTAGCCAAGTGCCTCTCGTAGTATTTGTACCTGAAATTATGGCCAAACTCTAACCTGGTACACATACTAAGTCCCTGTGTCCGCCATCTTGGTTCACATATTACGGGAGTACCCGCAAATGATCTTAACATCCATTCATATAAAGCAGGGGTCGGCAAACTTTCGTTGTTCGCGGGCAGAAAAGGTTGCAAGTCATTGGCGGTCCGCACATATTTTTAGAAAGGTAAAAACCGGAGGAATGGCCAATGAATCACATTTTTTCACACAGATTTCAGTTAAATTTCATGCAGTGCGCGGAGACTGGTAATTTGAATATTTTCTGCTTCATTAAACCATTTGCACTCAGCATCAACTTTTTTACGTTCTGTTGCCATTTGTCTAATTTCAATCAATTATAGGCTCATTAAACGAGTGATTGTGAATTATATACTGGTTAGGTTGTAATATAATTTAGTGTCTTGAAACAAATTCTGTCATGTAATGAATATATTCGTCAATACAGCTGTTTTGTTAATATAATTCAGTAAAGCGTCGCGGGCCAGATTATATTGCTCCGCTAACCGTAGTTTGTCGATCCCTGATTTAAAGCTATAGTTAAGAGTGTCGTCGAAAGAATTCCTGAAAGGAGGTTTGTAATCACCACAGATTATGAAAACTACATTATATTCAGGAAATGTGTTGATGGTGAAAAAAATGTTTCGAAACCTTTATGGGTGTATATCCGTGATATACATCCAAATGCTAAAGATCTTCTGCGAATATTAAACGAAATTAAAAAGTTTCAAAACGGATGGAATGAGGTTTCTTTATATTTTTCCAAATGTGTCTATGTGCAAAATCTTGGAAAGTTTACTAAGACATGAACAACAAAGCTAGAATTTCTCACTTTTATCATGCAGTTATTATATTCTACAGTTGTATCAGCAATGTTCCCTCTAATTTTTTGTAGTATGTGTGCGCAGAAATTTTGGTGTGTGCGCACTTTTTTGGAAATGACTAATATTTGTGCAAAAAACAATGAAGAAATTTTGGCGTTCTAACCGGGTAATGGGCGGGCCAACAACAAACTTTCTCAACCGGCCAATCGAGAACATTGTTACATTACATCGTAATACGTCTGTGCGCAGTAAATCTATGCGTGTGCGCAGCCTCTGAAAGCTGTTTGCGCGCCCACACTTTAGAGCAGTGATTCTCAAGCTAGGGTTTGAGAGCCGCATGCGGCTTTCAACAACCTGTGCTGCGGCTCTAGTTAATGCTTCAAAAATTGATTACTTTAAAAAAAAAAATTTCATTGAAAACTAATCATTGACTAGAAATAAAAATGTGAGCGATTTCGCGGCCACTCCACACTTTTCACTAGGAAAGATTTTGGACGTTGCTGTAATCATTGGCTTGCTTTCGTACATTTTCAGTTTTTGTCGCATTTCCTAATATTAGGTATAAATCAAATAACTCAATCAATATTTTAATTCTGGAGCATTTTAATTTTGTTCCAGTAATCGAAAAATGGTCTCGAAATATCTGACGATCATCTCAAGCAGCTACTGCAACTTGCATCCTCCCTGATTACAGCCCGCTTTGACAAACCTATTAGGATTCAAAGACAAGTTAAATGGATGTTAGTCTAGGGTGGTTTTTATACTGTTTAATGGTTAATTTCATCATAATCACTGATGACTTTGTCATCGCGATCGTTTCGGCGGCCATATCTTAAAGTATTCTAAATTCCCGTCCTTTCTCGTAACTAAAAAAGTTTGAGAACCACTGCTTTAGAGGGAACACTGTGTTTCAGTACGTTTTGTTTAACAAAGTTCTTACGGCCTTATTTATATTAGGTAAATGCATTCCTGTTTAGTCTGACATAATTAAATATGCTTATTACTGTTGGGTTGCATGAATATATTAGATACATAATTGATAAATTGGCAACATGAAGATAAATAGTGAAAATGAATGAAATTTATGCATAAAATTATATGTAACTTGATTAATAACTATTAATACGAAACGGTTTTTCACAAAGGACATTTAGGTTGAATATTTGTACGTTAGTGATTTATTCACGTTAACAGTATAATTAATTGTTCATCATCATTTGAAGAAAATTAGCTCCCCATCATAGTGGTGCCCAGCCTTTTACTTTCTAGCCCTTGGTGATAGAGCGGGAAAAATGATGCTGTCGCCGTCTTTTCTCAACAACACTTTCATAATCTCTACATCCCACTGACTAGCCATCTCTTTTATCGGTACGAGTAAAAGATCTCCATTGTCAGGTGGAGCTGACACATACTGACTATTAGAAGTGCATTGTAAATGTACTCCACTTCCAGATGTATGGATTAGGAATGACCTAAATATTGAATGGTTGAATAACATAATTATTATAGCAATCAACATTGCCAAACGTAGAAGTTTATATCACGTACAGATTGCGCATACAAATCATGATTAACAACATTCGAAAAGTTACCAAAGCTATTTTACATACAAGTTTCACTAAAATTTGTTGTTCTCAAATAATCACACATCCTGCACTGCAGTCGATATTACTGCGGTATATTGGATAATTTTGTTAAGTTAAGTTATATTCATTTGGTGTCAGCCGAAAAATTGTGAATTTGATACTTTTACCCTTTTTTAACAAATTTGATTTATATTATTTATAATTACATAGCATACCTAGATATAGTATTTCTACTATAGTTCAACTCGACTATTGGCAATATTCCATTCGTTTAACACAAGTGTGCGTGTACAACTTTTAAATACAGGAGGGCCAGATACGAATAATTGGGTAAAACTGTGGGCCGCACCTTTATTTAACATAGGCTTACTAGAAGTTAAAGGTACACAAATTTTGGTTATAGATCTTGTGACATGCGTTGTTCGCTTTGCACGAGCACAGGTATAGACTTTGCAACGCAAAGGAATGGGAATTACTCGCACGTACCAGTTTAAAAACTCGTTTCGCGGGCCACACAATATTACCTTGTGGGCCACAATTGGCCTGCGGGCCGCAGATTGCACACCCCTGGTTTTACACATAAAAGAATGATACTCACGTCCCAACTTCTGAAAATGTTAAAAGATCATTCGCTTTGAAACTTTCAACTGAAAACCCTATTGTATGATTGTCTCCTTTAGAAATGAACCACTCTTGATCACTACTGAGTTGCTGGGCCTGGATAGGTGTATTTATTTGAGCTCCCTCACTCATCCATTTCTGTGAACTCGACAGTTGATGGATTTGCACCTTAAAAGGTTCAATCACACTGCAGAAAAAAGACATTCCTCGGGTATCTTTAATACAAGTGATCGCTCAGTATTTTGCAATTACAGCATTACAAAAAAGCGTTTCCATTTGAGAGGTTTATATCTGGGAATTCGGGGAACGGAGTGAATTTCCCTATTTATTGAGTAACTCATTTCACGGTACAGAAAAAGCTAACTATAAATATTGGTCAATGTGATGGATGCAGAGTGGATCCTTTTCTATTAATTTATCATCCACACTAAGTAAATTTGTACATGTGTCGAAATATAAAGTTTCCAGGTGACGTATGTATTTATAAAGTCAGCTTGCTAGAATACAATATCTAAATATATAAATAGAAAAAAAAAATGACTAACGCATTTATCATTTCAGAGGACGATGCAATAAGCCAGTGCAAATCATATGATGGAGTGTCGGTCTTTACCATTTCCAGTATTTCGTTATTCTTTCCCAGATATCTATCATACGCGTTTTCAGCCCGCAGAAGTAATCCGAGCTCGGGCTGAAGGAGCATCGTGAAATACCTAGAGAAAAAAGTCTAATTCAGAGTAGGCTTGCACGTAATTGACAAAAATCAATTCCGTAATTACGGCCAAATCGATTACGTAATGACCCCGTAATTGCGATATTTTTTTCACACTTTTAAACCTATCATAACAACCAATTTAATCCACTTCTATTCCGAATGGGACATCGACAGTTGGGACAGTTTGGTTTTCATATTTCCGCCAGTACTACACGCCTGCGACAGATGCTAAAGACAAATATCAAGGAGTGAATTCAAATTAATTTTATTCTGATTTTTATCTTCTGTGTTAGCTTTGATTTTCCTTTATCAACGTTATCACCCAATTTTATGTGATCAATTTTATCATTACCAACACTGGTAAGTGGTAATATATTTATGAAACGATAGTTGACTTTTTTAAAATCATATTAACGTGTTAATACGAGTTTCGTATTAAATAAAAATTCCGGGTTTCTAATTTATAAATCAACGACGAGCGTATTCTCTCGTTTGATTATACTTGCGCTTGCCTCGCGACGAAGACTTGTTATTGTACCGTTTTTTTACATTATCCGACTTTACTACCTAGTTAGCATTTTATAATAATTATTGATGCCGACTTATTTACGATATTCCGATTACCATGCTTCATTTTACATTAAATCATTTCGCGGCCTAAATGTTATAACATTATTTGCGATAAATTTAGATCAAATATTAATTATTTGCGCATAATTTAAATACCGTACTTATATGACATGCCTTCTCCGAAAATACAAAGTTATATCGCAAAACAATGCATTTGGTGACATTTATTTTGCACTCACGAAAATATTAATTTACTTTTCTAACTCAAGTCGACACAAGTTTGGTCGAGTGCCGGTGGTATTTGAGTCGACGATAAATCAAAATAAGTTGCCGCATTTGGTAAAGACTTGAAGATATTGTAAAGACATATTTGGCCGAAATAGTGCGAGGCATTGTGAAAACAAGGCCAAGTCCGGACAGATATATAACGATAAAACCGGTAACAGAACATCAAGATTTTGTAATAGAAAATGGCTCTCGCGCAGTATAAACATGGGAAATCCCGTCTTTTTGCTGTTTCTCTGCCGTCTGAATCGCTTTACCGATGCCGAAAAGACTAAGTTGCGTTGGTTCATTACGCAATTTCTCTTCCGTCGTCATATTGCTGTTTGATAAGCGCGACATTAATTATCACGGCATTTACAAATAGACCATGTTTGGTAAGTTGTCTCTTACATTCTTTAGTCATTTCACCCGAAGAAGTTGAAACCAGGTGTGTTGGCGTCCATCGGTCTCGACACAATTCTATCCCATATCTACGCTTAATATGTACATTTGCCATGCTAGATAAGTTGATAATAGGTTAGTAAATGGCAACGCGTTATGCCTTCTCCATCTGCGTAACAAGAGAGAGAAAAACGGCTGCGAATACCGGAACTCTAACTTCTTCTACTTTTTAAACTTTAATTTTTTACAATCGACGGAATTGACTGCTCTAAAGAGAGCTCGTTTCAATCGCGAAAGCGCTCCACCAATAATTACGAATTTACGTAATTCGTAACTTCGCTTCCGTAACTCGAAATAATTCCGTAATTCCGTAAATCCGTAAATTACGTGCAAGCCTAATTCAGAGTCATGACTGAGTTAAAAATTGTGGAGTAATGAAACCGGAATATTTATCAATTAGTAGGCCTACAACAATCAACAGTCACAACCTGGCTTGTAGAAGGTCGGTACTGTCAAAACAAACATAGAAGACAAATACGAGATTGAGATATCATACTTTACAAATGGAGTACCCCAATGACCATTACTCGTGCCGTAGTTTCAAACCAGCTACATCAGTGCTTGATAGCCTTATTGAAATGGTACACGGTTTTAATCTTCATTCCAATTCTGGTATACCCAGGCTTGTTCATGGGATTCTCATGGGAAGCGTCCCATGGGGTGGGATGGGACAGCACACAGTTGTAATTTCCCATGGGACATGTGGGACACGAATACCGTATGATTTTTGGGGAAATGATAGTAAAACATTTTGTTATTGATTTCGTGTTCATATATTTAAGCATAGCCCTCTTGTTAGTTATAAAGCGCAAAACACATTTAGCTTTAACAATAAACTTCGTGAAGGGCTGATGAACACATGTATATATAATAGTTTTGAATATAAAGTCCGTAAATTTTGTTGTTTTACATGTCTTTTCGTAAACGAAGTCCTATTTAGGAGACGCTCAGCCTAAATTTAACAATCCTATTTAAATTTCATTCCAATGGGAATCCCATGGGATGGGATCGGACAGGAATAATTGCTGTGGGATGGGAATGAGACAGAAAAATATGTCTCGCGGACAAGCCTGTGTATACTCCACCCACTGTACATATGTCAATGAAAACTAATATTATGCAGAAGCATTGCTGAACTTTTTGCCGTCGTGGGCTATCGATGATTAGCGTAATCGATGGTCGTTTACAACTTTCTCCGTCATCATTTCAGTATCAATGTTTATGCAATAGTCAATGTACTCAATAGTTGATAATTTATTCAATTCTAACTTTGCTTTCAAATTTCATCAGCCAATTGTGACAACATCTATGCACTGGATAAGAGAGAACAATCCGTCTGTCTACAATAGGCCCTTTCATATGCCCCACGCTTATCAATTATTAAATCTAACCGTTATAAATTATAATTACGTAATAATTATGTATATGGGTAACCCTGTTTATTCTGTATATGCGTGACTGTAAAATAAAAGTACTTTCATCGTGATTCTGTAACAGTTTCATTTACTTCTACAGTCTAATTCTACGTGTGTGCTACTGTGCCCCGCCAACTCCGTTTGCGCATAGGGTCTTACAATGTTTTTTCCTTCTCCTTGGCCACATTCTTCGTGAGATTCAACGTTAAAAATGAAAATTCATCACCGAAATACACTGATATCGCGAGTTTGAGATGTTGTGTCCAAAGTCCCATGACCGATAATTTACTTTCGCGTATAGTACATAATTACGTTAAGGGAGGGCGTAACAAAATACGAGATCTCTTGAATCTAATGTAATAAACATGCATTGTATGACCGAATCGAGTTATCACACCACTCATCACCTTCTCATTCCATTATTGTGCTTTATATCGTCTTCGTATTCCAGTGTGACATCGTTATTACTGTCGTTATAGGTTACGTACATTTTCTTCTTATGATCGGACAGAATATGAAAACTCCACAACGCGTCGCTGGCAGATCGCTCTATTCTCCAATATTGAGCGGTCTCGGGATTCAATTTAACAGGGATATTATCATTTGGAGACCTATTGCTGGAAATACATTTGTTACCTTCTCTGTCTGCCAATTCAATGTTGACGAAGTTATTAAGTTCTTGCTTTCTTCCTTTTTTAGAAAAACATCCACGAAATATAAAGTTTGACATATTTCTGTTGTAGCAAATCATACAAACAAATTTAATTATAATATTGAATAAAATTAGGCAAAAATCCCGTAAATTTTCGGGCGTTTCTCATACAAAGTAAGTGCTAGTCTACTTCCGATCGACCAGTTGAACCATCAATTTCTGACCAAGTCTACAACAAATAGAGACTTTAACTCTAACTGAGCCAACTGCCTAAACTCACTTCCTCGAACATTTGATTTCACATTCAGATAAAATAATGAACAATAGCTGCTTAGAAACCGACAATAATAAGTTCCGCTTGACTTAAACGACGTCGCTCCTCCTTTGAGTGCGTCATTATCCACCAGGAACAGTTTTGTTTACTCATTATAATCATACTATTTTCATATCTAGTTTTATTGTATAACCGAGTTTGATAGTTTGCGTATACTAGAAATATATATGGTTCTCTGGGGAATATAAATTTTTAAATCTCCTTTTTTTTAAAAACGTTACCAGATCAATGTCGCGGATAAATGCACAACCACAAAAGCAAAATGGTGTTAGCAGAACAATGTAAATTCGTTTCGAATTTCGATACCGAAAAACGTCATCAGGGCATTATAAGGTAAAGACACTAGCGGATATATATATATATATATATATATATGCGGCAGGGAAATGAAAAAAAAATTTCAAGGCGTGTAATCGAATACCACTGTCTAACTCTAAAACACTATATATATAGATATTATATTATAACTAAGTAAATTAGCAAGAGTTGAAGAAAACATAAGATCTATCTTGCAACGATTTATATGCATGTGGGAACAGGGTCGTTTCTTCACTATACATCGATCCCAGCCATTTGCCAAAAGCCACCGATTTAGCAGTAGCTTATATTTCAAGTGTACAGATACCCTTCTTTGGACTCATTTATGTGTGAATCGGATTGTTTTTCATTACATTATAAATAATAATAATAATGACTTTTCATCTATATTTATTTACCATGCCGGAAATGTGACCCAGTGTATGTAAAAGATGGTTTTTGCTCAATCGAACATAATGCCCCCACTCCCAGTGGCGTAGCAAGACTCTCTCCCCTAATCTAATTATATTATACTTAAACTGTTACCAGTAGTATTTAATAATTGATGTAATATGGACTACAATTTGGCAATAGTTAGGCATGGCTTTGGTGAGCCCACCTCTTCATGCACTCAACTTTGGCTGGGCAATTTGGCATTTGACTCCAATTAACATCAGCTTGGCGATGTTAATTGAATCATTTTTTTTGTCCTTATATTAAATACTGTTCACTCTTGTTTGGGAATTTTTATAAAATTATTAAAATGATGGGGCAAACAATTCATATTATTTTTTTTTACATTTCATCTTTTATTCTAATTTCTTTTTGATGTGTTTATTTATTTTTTTTTGTTTACCATATAATTTATCTAAAATTCTTTTTGATGTGTTTATTTATTTTTTTTTGTTTATCATATAATTTATCTAAAGCTTCTCTATTTTTTTTAAATTTTATTAATGCCCTATGGCTGTGTGTGTGTGTGTGAGTGCGCGAGTGTGAATGATTTGATTCAATAGTTTTAGGTGAGTGAACATGTACCACTATTATTTTTGAAGTTTTATCATGTTCTTATTTCATTTTATTGGTTTACACTACAACCTCTCTCACTCCATATAGCACTACCTTCTGTAAAACCTCAGTAGTAACTTATGCTGGTATCTTTGGATCACCTTTGGTAAACGTCCAGCCTTAACCCTCCATCCCTCTGAATGGGATGTTCAGTAACTGTTGGTGTCCAGTTTTCGCATTCTTTTCGTAAGGTCATCCAGTTTCTGTGTGTTGTAACGTGTGTAAAAACAGTTTTACTAATATACTTCTCATGAAACTTCATTTTTAAAAATCAATACTTTTCATTCAATTTCAATTATGTATTTTATATTTGTCCACCAAAAACACTATATTAATGAATTGGATGAGAAAAAATTATTTCCTGCATAAATGGGTTATTTCGTGCGCTCCCGAAAGCGCACAATCTAGATCAGGGGTCACCAACGCGTTGCCCGCGGGCACCAAGTCGCCCGTGAAGACCACATGAGTCGCCCGCAGGTATGTTCCAAACTAAGCTTAATAACGGCGCTTATGAGTAAGCTACATCAATTAAATTTTGTCCTACTATTCTTGTGTAAATCACACTTATATGGGAATCGGAAATGGCACTATATTAATTATTGTAGCCATCAACCTGATTTTTATTTGATCTCAGTAATGTGACGGGTCAATTAACACTCTTGCAATTAGGACATCACACTGATATCACTTGCCACGAACCCGCGCTTTTTCTTGTCCGTTGGTTTGTGGAGCAGCAATAATATAATTATTGATTCCAAAGAAAAATGGCAGAAAAACCCACTATTTTCACGATGAATGGGGGTGGATATATTTTTAATACCATGAAAACAGCCTGCGCGTGTCTCATTTGTGGGGCGATTGTAGCGACGGCAAAGCGAAAAGATATTTCACGGCTTGTCACGCAATCTACCGCGCTTAACTATCCACTGGTCAGCGCAGTACGGGCAGAATCGCGATTCAAATCATACAGCAATTCTATTTTACGAGACCATTGTTTCGTTCAGCCTATCTTTGTGAATCAACATTTTTGACATAAACTCAGGATAGGATGGAATTTACATATTTATCCCGGGGGAGAAGATAGCCGATAAGACGGCATAACCATATGGCGAACCAAGGCATCTCGTCCGGTTACCATTTCATGTCGGGTATGGGATTAATTAGGTATTTGTTTTCGTAAGCATGGACTTGATGGCGAAGAAAGCCATCCCCAACGGCGGCAAGGGTCCAGCAATTTTCTCGCACATAACTATCCTCGCATGGGATTCTAACCTGCGAACCTAACGCTTAGCACACTAACGATGGCCACACAGCCGCGACTTTTTAGAAGTACACATTGAATTGGTAGCCCGCGGCCTCATCTGTACCCAGAAAGTAGCCCGCGGCCTCGAAAAGGTTGGTCACCCCTGATCTAGATTCTAAAGCTAAACCTATCCTATTACACCTACTATTTTCAGGTTGTGCGTCATCTTTGTGGTCATATTTCGGGAGTACCGAATTTTCCTACTTTCCGCACGGTGGAATTTTTTTAAATTGACTATGTGTTTTATATATTTTCACCAAATATACTGTATTAATGAATTGAATGAGAAAATATTTTTCCTGAACAAATAACGCTTTAACTGAGTTAAATTGAAGATTTCTTAAATTTTTTTCCTAAATTCGGAGGAATTTACCTACTTTTTTTAAAATTTTAATATGTATTTGTCCCGAAAATACACTGTATTAATGAATTGGATGAGAAAATATTCTTTTCTGCATAAATTACGCTTTAACTGTGTTAAATAGACGAGTTCCTATATTTTTTTCTTAAATTGAGGGGAATTTCCCTACTTTCCGCAAGGTGGATTTTTTTTAAATATTATTATGTATTTTATATTTGTCCACCAAATACACTGTATTGATGAATTGGATGAGAAAATAGTCTTTCTTGCATAAATTACGCTTTAACTGAGTTAATAAATTGACAATTTCTTAAAAATTTTCATCAAATTGGGGGGAATTTCCCTACTTTCCGCACAGTGTTTTTTTTTTTTTAATTTTGATATGTATTTTATATTTGTCCAAAAAATTCACTGTATCAATGAATTGGATGAGAAAATATTCTTCCTTGCATAAATTACGCTTTAACTGAGTTAAATTGACGAATTCTTATATTTTTTTATTAAATTGGGGGAATTTCCCTATTTTCCGCAAGTGGATGTTTTTAAAATTTTAAAATATATATTTTATATTTGTCCAGAAAACACACTGTATCAATGAATTGGATGAGAAAAAATTCCTTCTTACCTCAATTACGCTTTAACTGAGTTAAATAGACGATTCCTTATATTTTTTTCTTAAATTAGGAGGAATTTCCCTACTTTCCGGACGGTGGATTTTTCTTAAATTTTAATATGTATTATATATTTGTCCACCAAATACACGATATTGATGAATTGGATGAGAAAATATTCCTTCTCACCTAAATTACGCTTTAACTGAGTTAAAGTGACGATTTCTTATATTTTTTTCTTAAATTGGGGGGAATTTCCCTACTTTCCGCACGGTGGATTTTTTTATAAATTTTAATATGTATTTCATATTTGTCCACCAAATACACTGTATTAATGAATTGGATGAGAAAATATTCTTTCCTGCATAAATAACGCTTTAACTGAGTTAAATTGAAGATTTCCTAAAAATTTTCCTTAAATTGGGGGGTATTTCCCAACTTTCCACATGGTGTAATTTTTTTTTAAATTTAATATGTGTTTTATATATCTCCATCAAATACACTGTATTAATGAGTTGAATGAGAAAAAATTATTTCTTGCATAAATTACGCTTCAACTCAGAAAAACTGTGTTGTTCCAATTATCTTTATTTTATTATGTCTGTCGTTAGTTTCTGAAAGGGCGAATCGCCTCATTTTTTGCATTCATGTAGCCGCAATCAAGTGAATTCGCGACAACTGTCCACTTTATTTGCGGTCATGGCGGGTTCAAATTTGAAAAAATTGGTAACTGTCCGCTGGAAGTGTCCGCTAGATTTACCTAGGTTTTTGGGTTCCTATAATTCTGTGATCATATTCATATGGCTGGCTGTATGGCCAATAGTATGTCGGATCATGCTTAAGAATCACTTTCTAAAAAAAGTTAGAATAGTAAATATCCAATTAGGGCATACCGGTAGCCTACTTTCTCATATTACATTTGCACACAAGACTGCATGATTAAATCTCTGGGTTGAAAATTTCTCAGGCTATTTAGTATAAGGAAGGCTGTTTATGCTTCATTTTATTCATATAATAATTGCATTTGTTTGTTACACACTCTCCCAGTTTGTTTCTTATTACTGCTAAAAACCATAGGTAGGAGGTGCACAGCCCTTACCCCCT